CTGGGGGGTGATTTCTCACTTTCTCTCTTCTCTCTCTGTCTTTCTGGCGAGTGCACACGCCCTATAGCAAAAACCTCTCAAAAAAAAAAGTTCAAAAACTAAGAAAATGACTAACTTAATTGTGGGGACAAGACTGGAGTCGAATATTATATCCCAGAATATTATCGGGAACATTGGGCCACAGCAGAAGAAAAAGTACATGAGACTGAACCTCTGAAATAGAATCTTATGACTTTTGACTGAAATATTGCTGCTTTTCTTCTAGGCTTAGTTTTCCAGTTTTAAGGATTTTTGTCCTGTCTTGAGCTGCTGATAGGTTCACGCACCTACTATTTGAACAGAATCCCCACGTTTCCTGGCTTTAAGTTTTAAGCATAGTTCCTTAGCATTTCCCTTATTATTAAAGCTAAATCTGCTTTTCTCGAAATTAAAAAATAGTAAAAAGCACATTATTAATGACCACAGTTAGCTCTATAGCATCAGCCAGGGGCTACCTTCTAGTACATTCCTTCCACTCGGAGTCTCACGCCGAAAGTCAGACGTGCATTCGGAGATACGTGTATACCAGCTGAGCTTGCTATCGAAAGTAGTTAGATTAGTGAAGAAATTTTGTGAATCTACAAAATGTGGGGAGAAAGGGATGGAAAACGATCGTGGACACCTGAGATAGTGTGGGAGGAGGGTGGGGGATGGCAGAGGGTGGGAAATAGGGGGGAAATATCTATACATATGTAGAAAACTAGAAATAGAAAATTATTGACGATAACATGTATGATAAAGTCACTATGCAGTATATTCTGAATGGGAATCACATTTTGTATGCTGTGACAATGCTCAGTGAATGAATGTAAATTAATTCAAAACAAAAAAAAATTTTTTTTCTTTTTTTGGAGAGGTTTCTTTTTGCTATAGGGCACGTGCGCTCACCAGACAGACAGAGAAAGACAGAGAGACAGAAAGTGAGAAATCACCCCCCAGGGGGGATGACCACGCTGCAATCCCTTCTCCTCCATTCTCTTGGGATCTTGGGCACGCACGCACATGCGCCCAGCATGAGTTTAAGCCACCGGGTCCGGGACTTGAACCACAGTCACCTATGTGGGCATCTATAGACATAGCCATTATGCTAACTGCTGGTCTGAAAAAAATTTTTTAATTAAAAAAAAAAAATACGGAGGCCAGCAGGTGGCATGGTGGTTAAGGTGCCAGACTCCCACATGGTCAACCATGGTTTGAATCCCAGACCTGGCGGCTTGCTTTCTCACGTTCTCCCTCTTCCTGTTTCTCTGTGGTCAAATTCTCTGTGAACACAATGATAAGGGATCTCCAGCATGTACCAAGCAAAAAAGGTATGTGCTGGAGACTGGGTGGTGACATGTGATGAAATGCGAAGCTCTGCTAGGCTGACCCACATGGGAAGGTTCTGGGTTCACGTCTGGAGACCTCCTGGAACACACCAGGTGCACGTGGCCCATGAGCCGGCTAAGGCTGGAGGCGGACTGTGATGCCAAGAGCCTGCTGAGGGTGCTGGCTCTCTGCCTGTCTCTCTCTTGCTCATGGAGGAAATAAAATGTCCCAGCCCCCTTCCCCTTCCCTCTATGGCTTCTTCGTCCTTTCTTCCAGGGTGTCAGGACCACCAGGTGGCAGTGCTACCTATGACTCTGCCGCCATCCCGTGACCAGAAGCGAGTCCTGCACCCTCTGTCCTGCCCACTGTGCAAACAGGTCTGGTCCAGGCCAGGGGTACTCAACACCCACTTTGACTTCCCAGGCTGACCCTGCAGCCCAGGAAGGAATATTCAGATCAGGAGCCCAGAGAAAACAGTTCAAAGAACCTATCGCTCTTAGTGAACAGAGGTCACTGCCCTCTCACCCAGGCCTCTCACAGACAGGCTCCCTGGGCAGAAGTCAGACTGAGACCAACGTGGTAAGCTGCTTCCCACACCCTGACGGTGGGGCTCGGCTGTCCAGCAACCAACAGCTCCTTTCTCGCCTGGGACACTTGGGCAGGCAGAACACCGTGAACCCTCCCCAGGCCTGTGGATCAGAGCAGGGGCTGGGCTTCAGCTGGACATGGGACTCCGAGGCCTGGCCAGGCTCCTTAGTGCTAAAGGCTGGGACAGCAGGGGACAGAGTCGGAGGTGGCAGCCAACCCCACCCATTCCTGTCAGCTGCCCAGAGAGAGTGCGAGTCCATGTGGACCTTGTTGAGAACTAATACTGGAACATCCAGGGATCCAAACGAGGGGCTGGGGTGTTCGGGTGAAATGCACCTGGCAGGGCCAATTGCAGGAGACCTAGCTTTGTGCTTCTCACTGTCCTCATCACCTGGCCCTGGCCTCTCTGCTCCCAGCCCAGCCTCATTGCCCAACCCCTGCTCTGACCAGCCCATCTTGGATTCTGGGCAGGGCCACACCTGTCCTTGAGAAACCTGGTCTAAGGCCGAGGTTGGCCCCTTGCACTTCCCGCACCCCCAGCCCTCCCCTCAGTTCCTCTGCACTTTGGGGATGCTCCTCCAGCTGATGAACCCTGATTTAGTGTCCCCAGGACCACACTCTGACCCAGAGCCGAACTGAACTGAGGGTGCAAATGAGTCACATGCTCTCTGCCCAGCCCCGTGCCACAGCCCAGGACCACAGTGATGAACCACAGCCAGCCACGGTCTGCCCAGCCCCATGCCACGGCCCGGGACGACAGCAGTGAACCACAGCCAGCCACAGTGTGCCCAGCCCCGTGCCGTGGCCTGGGACAACGGTGGTGAACCACACAGGCAGCCACATCCTGCCTTAGGGAGCTGTGGCTCCATGGGGGAGAGGCCAGGAAAAAAGAAGTGACACCACACTGTAGGGCTCCATGGGGAGAGATGGGCAGCAGGGGTGCGGAGGACAACAGCAAATGAGTGTTAGTGGCCAGGAAGGATTTCCAGGCAGAAATCACGTGTACCAAACCCACAGGCAATTGACATAAGTACTCCCATGCATTAATTTGCAATTGCAGACTGAGGTACCATCAGAGGTGGCTTGGGGAGGGGCCAGACAGTGGCACAGAGATAAAACTCAGTCTGGAAGGCAGAGCCACGTGGGATGGTTCCAGGTTTGTGTCTGAGACCTTCCTGAGTACACAGGGTATGCAAGCCCTGCTGGTTGAAGCCAGAGGTAGATTTCTGTCTGTCATAAAATTATGCAACTTAGGGGCCAGCAGGTGGTATGTTGGTTAAGATCACTGGACTCCCATATGGCTGACCACGGTTCTAGTCCTGAACCTGGTGGCTTGCTTTCTCACTTTCCCTCTCTGGTCAAATTAAAATAAACAAACAAACAAATAAAAGGCTGCTGGATCCCACATGGCCAACTGAGTGGTGCAAGACCCAGACCTGGCAGCTTGAAAAACAAGGTGTAGAGACCAGCAGTTAGCCTAATGGCTATGTCGCTGGACTCCCATGTAGTCAGCTGTGGTTCAAGTCCTGGACCCGATGGCTTGAACTCACGCCGGGCACGTGTGTGTGCATGTCCAAGACCCCAAGAGCAGAATGGAGGAGAAGGGATTGTGGCCTGGCCATCCCCCCTGGGGGGTGATTTCTGGCTGTCTGTCTCTCTGGCGAGCACAAAAAACTAAAAAAAGAAAGAAAGAAAGAAAAAGAAAAACCAGGTGCATATGCCTACGTGTCCAAAATCCTGCAAGGAAAACGGAAGAGAAGGGATTGTGATGTGGTCATCCCTCCTGGCGGGGATGTTTTCTCACTTTCTCTCTCTCTCTATCCCAGGGAGCCCCCATGCTGCATAACAAAAACAAAAACAAACAAAAACAAAAATAAAACTGCTTGGTGAATACGAAATGAGAAAAGAACAAGAGACAAATGGAAGGAAACTACCGCTAGGCATTGAAACTGAGTTTTCTTGGCCGGTTCACAGAATCCTCCTGGGTAGAAGGCAGACAGCACCCTCACATATGCACACCTGGGAGGGCAGGCCGGCATCGGTGCAGCCCCTGCTGAAACCTGTGGCTCTAGCTTGCCCTCTTTTTGGGATTGGGCTCCTGGCGGAATCTCCCAATCACAGTACAGGGACATCTACCCCACATGCAGGTCGCATCTTTTAAAAATGTACTTAGTGAGATTTGCAGGCGTTTATTACGCTTTCTTAAACCCATCTAGAACAATGTGGTATTCTTTTGAGTGAGAAATCGCTTCGAAACTCGGGGTACGCACACCCGGGGGTCACTTGCTCTTGCTGGCTATGACCTTGCCAAGTCCTGGTCCTAGCTGAAATCTGCAGAGGGATAGGAGTGGAATCGGGTCCTCGACAACCTAAAGCGCTCACCTCCGGTCCCTCTTTCCATTCTCACTGCCACCTCCTGCCTGGATTATGCGGCCTCGCGGTTGGTTTGTCTGAGCCCATTTTTGTCCTCCCGGGCCGTCTGCACACCGCAGCCAGGTCTTAAGTGGATGGCCGATCGTGGCACTGGCGGCGCAACACCCTTCCAGGCGCCTTCCGAGTCGGCCCGGCCCGGGCCGCCCAGGTGGCTCCCCTCGCCATCCCGCGCCCCGCGTTTTCCCTCCGCTCGCCCAGCGCTCGGGGCCCGTCAGGTTCCCAGGAGCGCCCAGCACGCAGCAGGCGCTTCACACTGTGCGGGGACCACGGACGCCGGCCGAACGCCGCCAGCTTCGGGCCTCGAATCCCGCCTTCCGCATTCCCACACCGGAAACCCCGTCTTGGGCAGCTGAAGGAACCCGGGGTAGCAGAGCGACCAAACCGCCGGGCGCACGGATCACGGAACCAATTTCCTGAGGGACCTTTCCCCCGGCCAAGAGGCGGGCCGGAAGTCTGCTTCGGGCCCGCCCCCGACCCGTCATTGGGTGGAATCCCCGAAAAAGGACCCGGCCAGACCCTAGTTTCTTATTGGTTAAAATATACAGGGCCGTAAAGGGTGGGACCTGGCTCACCTTCGTGTTTTCATTGGTCGAGAGCTGGATGGGTTTTACAACGATCTTGTCCTTCCCTAGCTGAGGGCGGGAACCGGCGTCTCGCTCTCTCCATCCTTCTTCATTTTAGAAAAAACGCTGTGGACACAGCAGCTGTTTACCCCGGAACAACAGGGTTTCCCCTCCGGATTTGTACCCAGAGGCCTGGCGTCTCTCTGAATCCTAGGATTTAGGGAGAAGAGTGGCGCGAGGGGCCCCGGAACAATTCCTTCGCGGAACCATTGAAGCAAGGGCTCTGGGAATCGAGGTCTCTGTAAGGATCAGACCCCGGAGGACGGACCAAACGGGCAGGAATGGCGGCAGACGCTCCCGACGCGGGGTTGGGGAACGCTGTCCCCGTGGATCTGCGACGGGAGCGGCGCATGGTGTGCGTGGAATACCCGGGCATGGTGCACGACGTGGGCAAGATGTTGCTGACTCTGGGCGACGAGGAAGGCGTCTCTCGGGTGAGGAGCTGGGAATCTCCGGGACAACGGGAGAGGGACCAAGTCGCTGACCCGTGGCCGAAGGGGCGGGACCACCCGGGATAATGTGGTTTCCTTGACAACGGAGAGTTCTGGGGCCCCCTCTGGGCAGAGTTTTGCTTTCCGAGGTTGTCGGCCTGGGGTGTTTTTCTCCGCGAGCAGAGAGGGAAAGGCTCTCGGGGAGACCCGGGGACTTTTCTATCCCCTCCCCTAGCCTGAGCCGCTGCCTCGGCATCGGTGCGGGAAACGCAGCTCCCCTGCAGCCCCGCAGGGCGTGCCGCGCAGCTTCGTCCTCGCTTCACGGAGTAGGAAACTGAGGCACGAGGAAATTAAGCCTGAGAGGGGGACAGAGACTGTTAGGTTTCCTTGTAAAACATTTACATATACCAAATTTTTAAATGTCTCTTTTTTCTTGCCTTTTCTCCAAATTTGCTTTATGTAATTGGGTGGATATAAATTAACAGAAATTTAAGCAAGATACGTAACAGTATAACAGAACTCGATCTGAGTTCTTTCCACTTTTCTCAAATTTGTCTGTGGAGAACCTTCACAATACTTTTGTATGTAGAAAAAAGCATTACAGTCAAATATTCAACTCAATATAAAATAAACACTTCTGATTTCTTTTAGATTAAGACTGCTTCAGGGAACCAGCAGTTAGCGTAATGGCTATGTCGCTGGACTCCCACGTAGTTGACCGCGGTTCGTGTCCCGGACCGGTGGCTTAAAACTCACGCCAGGCGCATGTGCGTGCGTGCCCAAGATCCTGAGAGGAGAATGGAGGAGAAGGGATTGCGGCATGACCACCCCCCCTGGGAGGTGATTTTTCACTTTATGTCTCTCTGTCTGGCAAGTGCACACCCCCTATAGCAAAAACCTCTCCAAAAAAAAAAAAAAGACTGCTTCTCTATTTGCTAATGAATGATATTTTTAAAGAATTATTTTATGTAACTTTATTTTTAATTTGACCAGAGAAGGACAGAGAGAGAGAGGAAAAGTGAGAAAGCAAGCAGCCAGGTCCTGGATTTTAACCCCACTCAGCCAGGTGGGAGTCTAGCGGCCTCAACCACCACTAGTGAATGATTTTTAACTGTAGCATGGCTGAGCTGAGCTGAACAGTAAGTCACCTCCAAGTATATAAAGAGAAACATACTAAGTGGTAATAGTAACTACATCTTTACTAGTCCATCTCTACCTCTTACACTTCAGAAACTTAGAGATTTAGAGTATTCTTTCATTAACTGCGAGAAGATAAAGGAGAAATTCATTCTTTTTTGAGATCACAACTGTAAAGTCATGTAGTTATACAAAAATTCTACATTTGTGTGCAAAACATGAAACTCTTTTTTAAAAAATATTTATTTATTTATTCCTTTTAGTTATTCTTTTTTAATTTGACCAGAGAGAGAAAAAGGGCAAGCGAGAAAGCAAGCCGCCAGGTCCAGGACTTGAACCGCAGTTGGCCATGGGGAATCCAGTACCCTTAACCACCATGCCACCTGCTGTCCCAAACACATTTAACTTTATTCTCCCTGCTTATCACTCTTGTCAGAAGTTAGCAGGACATAACAGCTACATTTCCAAGAAACAGAGACAGATTTCCCTATGTAACGTCAGTAACCTTAGCACTGCAGTGAGGCGAGGTGCAATATTCCTTCGCTGTATTTCAAGACAGCAAGGAAGGAGGTCACAGGGAGGAATAAATCAGAGTTGTTATAACCGAGAGACTACTTCTCATTGAGTTCGCCATGGGTAGTGCCACTTTTTTTGGGGGGGGGAGGGAAGGGGTTTTTGCTATAGGTTGCATGCGCTTGCCAGAAAGACAGAGACAGAGAGCAAAAAAATCACCCCCCAGGGGACATGGCCAGGCCACAATATCTTCTCCTCTCAGGATCTTGGGTTCGCACGCACACGTACCCGATGTGAATTTAAGCCACCAGGTCTGGGACTCAAACCACGGTCAACTACATAACAGTCCAGTGACATAGCTATGACAGCAATTGCTGGTCCCGAGAGAGAGAGATTTTTGCTCTAGGGCACATGTGCTCACTGGAGAGACAGGTCCAGGACTCACACCGCAGTTGACCATGTGGGAATCCAGTGCCTTTTACCACACGTCACATGCTGGCCCCCCAACCTTTTTCTTTTTAAGAATTCTTTTATTTAATTTTATTTATTATTATTATTACTTTTTAAATTTGACCAGAGGGGAAGAAAGTGAGAAAGCAACGTTTTTTTCCTAAGTCTTCAACACGCACAATTTAAACATACAGCTGCGGTAAGTCCAAGCAATCCTGCATACTGGTGCTCCAGCAAGATCTAAATACAGTTATGTTTTTAAACAGTGGATCAAGGGTTTACAGAAAAACACCACCCTACTTTCCCCCTAAATTTCTAAAATACCACCACCTTTCCTCCAACAGCTGCAGCCACCCAGGACTTTTTTTCCCCTGCAGGATACATGTACTCATGGGAGGGCATGGTGACAAAGCACCCCTGGGGGATGACCATACTGCCGTCCCTTCTCCTCCATTCTCCTCTCAGGACTTTGAGCATGCATGCACACATGCCCAGCGTGTTTTCGAAGTCACTGGGTCTGGGACTTAATCACCCGTCACCCATGTGGGGTCCAGTCGCCTTAACTGTCACACCACCTGCTGGCCCCATCCAGGGATTTTTAGGAAATGTCTGTGCATGATCTTAATCCCTAATCCCTGTCTCTGAGCTCAGTGACCAAAGATCAGAACCACCAAAAATGATGGTTCACTTCAAGTCAGATCAGAAACCCCAGCTCAGCAGGTCTCACAGGCTGAGAACAGTGCTGCATCAGCTGCTCCCACGCAGGGCCGGGTCCACCAGGGCCAGCTCCACGCAGGGCACCTGAAGGCGTTCCTCAGCCAGTCGTAGATGCAGTCCGAGGGACAGGTGTGCATGCACAGCAAAACTGGAATTGGGGCCCCAGAAACAGAGTCCATCATCAAGATCACATACTCCTGATTCTTTTTAAGTTAATTAATATTTATCTTTTAATTTGACCAGAGAGAGAGAGAGGGAAAGTGAGAAAGCAAGCAGCCAGGTCGAGGACTTGAACCGCAGTCAAGCACGTGGGAGTCTAGCACCTTAACCACCACGCCACCTGCCGGTCCCACTGAGTCTTTTTTTTCCTGATCCATCTCTTCCAGGGCCATGTATCCTTCAGGCAGACGCCGTGTAAGGCTGTTCTGTGAGCCCCCTAACGTGTTCTCCTAAGGTCAGCTGAGTTCTCAGCGGAGCCTGGGTGTTGAATGATAGACTCGAGCTGGGCTTTGCTCCTGATACGGTGGGAGCTCCGGATCAGGCTCTGCCCTCTCGCCAGAGCTTAGCCCAGTGGGACTTAGGCTCGTGAAGCAGCAAGATGTCATCTGAGGTGGGGGATTTCAAGCAGTTCCCCATCTTCCCAGACCGGGGTGTGTGACCTGCGCACTGTCCGATAGTCTCCAAAATGTCCCTCTAGAGAAGTGTTCCCTAAACGCCCTCCCTGAGGGGTCCGTAGCAGTTAACATCTGCCTTCTCATCACATATTTGTTACCTGTCTTGGCTTCTACAGACTCCATGAGAGAAGGGTCTCTCTCACCTGCTTTGTACCCCTCATGCCATAACAGTGCAGAGTCCGCCGGATCGTGATCAGATCTTCAGTGGTCTTGTGTTAGATGGCATTTGATTCTTGTTTTTCAGATAAAGACACAGATGAGAAAGGTTAGGTCAAATAACTCCTACGTGATACAGTGGAGATTTGAACTCATCATTCCTAACTTGAGAGTCTGAGCTCTTAGCTGCTGTTCCCTTATCCTTGTGGATATTAAAAAGCCTAGGACCAGCAGTTGGCATAATGGCTATGTTGCTGGACTCCCATGTAGTTGACCACGGTTTGAGTCTGGGACCCGGTGGCTTAAACTCATGCCAGGCGCGTGTGCGTGCGTGCCCAAGATCCTGAGAGGAGAATAGAGGAGAAGGGATTGCAGCATGGCCATCCTCCCTGGGGGGTGATTTATTGCTTTCTGTCTCTCTGTCTCTCTCTGGTGAGCACATGTGCCCTATAGCAAAAACCTCTCAAAAAAAAAGCCTCAAACTTCTTACTAAGCATATGAAGCCTGTAGGGCCTCAGTCATCAGACATTTTTCTTTTTTTTCCTTGAATATTTAGAGCATGCTTACCAGAGAGAGACAGAGAGAGATGGAAGAGGGGACATGGCCACATTGTAATCCCTTCTCCTCCATCTCAGGCTTTTGGACACAAGTGCCTGGTGTGATTTGCAAGCTGCCAGGTCCAAGAATTGGATCAGGTCCAATTTGGTTCAATTCTTGGACCAAACAGTCTGCCATGTGAGATCCAGCCGCCTTAACCACCATGCCACTGGCTATGACCTACCTGCAGCCATAACCAGCCTGGAATCATGGGCACACCGGGAGGTTTCTGGACACAGACCCAGAACCTTCTATGTGGGTCGGCTTATAGAGCATGGCATTTTCCTGCCATGCCTGGCCCCACCACGAGGCTCACAAGAGAGGAGCAGTCTTTGCCGGCTGCCAAGCTGCTCACACTTCACTGTCTCTCTCGGCCTCACCACAGACCTACGCAGACCCTGCCAAAAGGTTGGAGCTGCACTTCCGGCCCAAGGACCCGTACTGTCATCCAGTGTGTGCCAACCGCTTCAGTACCAGTAGCCTGCTGTTCCGGATCAAGAAGAAGACAAGGCGGTGGAGTGGGCTGCTGGACACCGAGCCACACGTCGAGGTCACATTCAGTGTGGAGAGCCTTGGCATCGTCCCCACCATTTACAAATTTCAGGGTAACTCTTAAGAGATGCCCTTGCCATTATCCAGAGCCTTCTGTCTAAACTGCCAGTGGGTGCTGCCAGGGAGGTGGCCAGGATGTGGCCAGGCACAAGGAGCAGGGGCTGTGGGGGGTGGCAGAGGTTCCCTGGGCCTGCAGACCGCTGCTGTCCAATCTTCAGTTTCCTAAAGAACCTAAAATCTTAGAGTTCTGTGAGACACCCTCATTTTAATAAACCCTGGGCCGGGGAAGACTGGCTTGCCCGTGTCAGAGCCTCCCAGCTCACGTCAGCCCTCAGACCTGATGCTCCTTTGAACATGCAGGCTGGATGGCTCCTGTGGGGTCTTCAAGGAAGGTTGCTACCCACAGGGACCCTCAGAGAGGAGTCAGTAGGAGGGGGTGTGGGAGCTGAGGGTTGGGAAGAACATGCTCTTTGGGCTCGGACTTGTGCCTGCTTGAGCTCTGCTGGTCTCCTGGGCAGGTGGCTTGCTTCCCTCCACCTCCACCTCATCTGTGCAACGGGGGCTGTGCGGCCCTGAGGTCGCGGGGCCCGCGTGAAGATGCAGAGAGGTGGCACCTGTCAAAGGTCCACACCCATTTGCATGGGGCACTTGGAAGGTCCCTAACAAACCTTGGACATGTCTAATATAGCTGCAGTTCTGAGGCAGTGTCTGGAGGAGTAAAGACTGAGGAGAGAAAAGGGGAACAGAAGGGGAAAAGACAGAAGGAAGTGAAACGGACAGTCAGGTCCTGGGCTGGGCAGCTCGTGTCAGTCATCGTGGAGGACCGCAGTCACCCCGAGGACTGTCCTTTCTACAACAGGGTTTCCGCAGTCCACGGAGCAGAGCTCTTCGTATTATTGGCTCTGGTGGATTAGCACCCTGCCCAGTGTGGGTCCCTGGACCGGCCACCTCCCCCGAGAGCCTGTTAGAAGTGCAGCCCACGGTCAGTGTCTAGCAAGATGCAGGGACTCATCTGCACGTCACCTGCTGAGAAGCACTGGCCTCGGACCAGCCAGCAGCACAGTGGTTATGCCACTGGGCCCCACATGGCTGGCTGTGCAGTCCAAGGCCAGGACCTGGCAGTTTGAAAAATCGCACTGGGTGCATGCTTGTGTACCCCAAATCCAGAGAGAATGGAGAAGGGACTGTGGCATGCCCCCCCCCTCCCCCCCGTGGGGTGATTTCTCTCTTTTCCTCTCTCTGTGTGTCTCTGTGGCGAGCACAAGTGCCCTATAGCAAAAACAAATTTTAAAAAGCCTTGGCTTAGACTTTATCCTCACACATCATGTAGCTTTCCGCTTCCCTAAAATAGTTTTTATTTAAGCAACTCGGGGTGCAGTGAGCGGAGTTGCAGAAGCATTCCCGAAGGATGTGGTTTTGGCTCCTGCTCCAGTGCTGGCAGCCTCTGCTGCACACTCGCTTAGCACTCCCCCGAGGGGTGCTGCTTGGTACGCAGCAGCTGCAGTTCTGGGCGGGTGTTCCCGGCCACAGCACCCACCGTCTGCCTCTCGTTCCAGGAATGTCTGACTTCCAGTACTTGGCCGTGCACACAGAGGCGAGCGGCAGGCACGTGTCTATGTACGACAAGCTGGTCATGCTGCAGCCCGAGAAGGAGGAGTTCTTCAACCAGGAGGTGCCGCTCTACATCCCCCCACCCATCTTCTCCCGGCTGGACACTCCGGTGGACTACCACTACCGCCCCGTGACACAGCACCGGTAAGGCCCTCCACGCTGCAGCAGGGCCCGGGCTGGAGTCGGCCTCTCTGGAGGCGGGAGGCTCAGACGTGCCACCTAGCCTCGGCCTTGGTCCTCCTGTCGAAATGGGCTCACAGGAGTGCCTGCCCAGCAATGGGTTAGGACAGAGGGCAGAGGTATTTGAACCCACGTGCGGTTCCCAGCCGGCCGAGTACAGAGCTGGCCCTTGGTAAGCCGCATCCATGGCCTCTGTCCAGCCGGGCAGCAGTCCTCCAGGGAGGAGGCTGAGACTCCACATCACGTGGGAGTACCAAGCCTGGTCCTCTTCGTAGGCCTGCCACCTGCTTTCGTTTGTTTTAATTTGCGATCGGGTCTGTGTGCCTGCCAGAGAGACGGAGACTGGGGTGGGGCTAGTGAGAAAGTACTCCCTGGAGTAGCCACACCGCCACCTCTCCTCAAAATTACAAAAAATACTTTTTAAATCTCTGACTTTAAGTAAGTTCTCCAAAGGTAGCAAGTTGGGCTGCTGTGCTCTCTGTGATAACCCGTGGGGCCAGACAGCCTGGCCTGTGAGAGGCACTGGGCACGCGTCTGCCCACCCGGGAGTGGTTCTAGGTAGCTGCAGCGACACCAAGGCCAAGAGAAATGGTTTGAAAAGTGGCCTGTGGGTGGTGATGTTTGTTAGAGTGTTTCTGTAGCACGTTTTCCTTTTTAAGTTTCTTTCTTCATGGGCGAGGGAGACAGGCATCCCCAGCATGGTCTGTGTGCTGTGATCTTTCCTGGCTTCATCCAGCCTAGGTCCTGGGCACACATGTGTTCGTATGTTCAGGGAGGACTTCAGTGTGAACCCAGGCCCCTCCTCAGGGGCCAGCCCAGCAGCGCTGCACGGCTCCTGTGTTGCCATCTGGTCCCCGCGCAGCATGTTCTAAGCTTCAGAAGTGCAGCTTTCAGGAGACGGAGCTCTGTGCACTGACCTGGCACGCAGTCGGGACCTTTGTGAAAAAGACAGTGTTAGAAGGGATTCTGTGGGGAACCAGCAGACAGCGTGATGGCTCTGTCACTGGACTCCCACGTTGTCGACCATGGTTTAAGTCTCCGACCCAGAGGCTTAAAACTCACACTGGGTACGTGTTTGTACGTGCCCAAAATCCCAAGAGGAGAATGGAGCAGAAGGGCATGTGGCACGACCATCCCCCCCAGGGGTGATTTCTCACTTTCAGTCTGTCTCTCCCTGTCACACGCCACATAGCAAAATCTCTTTTTTAAAAAATAAAGAAGGGACTCTGGCGTAGCCGTGGCAGCCCTCCGGCCGTAGCATGCACTGTTGACACTGCTGCTCGGCAGGCTGGGGCACGTGGAAAGCTGGTCCAGTTCCCAGCCCCACCTGACAGCTGGACCCACTGGTGTGCACCACAAGCCCCAGCGACGGAGATGCTGAGGGCATTGCGGCACAGCCAGGCACCCTCTGTGGGAGGTAGATGCGCTAGGGCGTAGAGCCTGGAGAAGGAGAAGGCTGGGCCCCGGCGGCCACCGGCCCCCTCGTTGGAGACCGCCTCCAGCTCTCCTTGGCGGAGCACCCGCATGGCTCAGGACCTCCCTGGACCCCAGTGCCAGTGGACAGACAACGCAGCAGATGAGGCTCCGTCCTGGGGCCCACTGGGGAGCTGGGCAGAACAGGAATGGATGGGTGGGCACTTGAAGGCAGTAATGGGAGTGGGTCACACTGGCAGCAGCTGGCACAGGGGGCCTCGAGGAGCCACCATCTGAAACAGACCTGAACGATAGCCGAGCCTTCGGCCAGAGTTCTTGGGAGAATGTTCCAAGCCAGGGACTGGCATACGCAAAGGAAGGGTTGGGAGGTTGGTGCCCCGCCCCCAAAACCGGAGGGAGACAGGGAGAGTGGTGGGGACATCTCATAACCATGGTATGGGCTCAGTTTTTCTCTAGAGGAAGGTGTATTCTCTGCCTTTAAGAAATTGGAATGGGACCAGCAGATAGCATAATAGTTACATCGCTGGACTCCCACAAAGTCAGTCGTAGTTTGAATCCTGGACCTGGTGGCTTTAAAACTCATGCTGGGCACATGTGCATGCATGCCCAAAATCCCAAGAGAAGAATGGAGGAGAAAGAATTGTGGCATCCTGAGGGAACAATTTCTTGCTTTCTGTCTCTGTCTCTCTGGTGAGCTCACATGCCCTATAGCAAAAAAAAAGGGGGGGGAGTGAACCTCTCTTAAAAACAAAAACTGGGGGCCAGCAGGTGGCGTGGTGGTTAAAGGTGCTGGATTCCCCTCATGACTCACCTCAGTTCGAGTCCTAGGCCTGGTGGCTTGCTCTCTCACTTTCCCTTTCTCTCTCTCTCTCTCTCTCTGTCTCGTCAAATTAAAAAATATAAGGCTAATAACAAATGGAATTAAATAAATAAATAATTCTTAGGGGGAAAAGCCCTCAGCACTGGATGCATGAGTGACCAAAATCCCGAGGAGAGTGGAAAAGGGATTGTGGTGTGACCATCCCCATTTCTTGCTTTCTGTCTCCGTGTTTCCATCGAGTGCTGGTGGTGAAGGCAGCTCCCACGTGCCTGACTGCTGCAAGTCGGAGTCCAGACGTGACCTCGTGTGCACCCCCAAGTCCTGGGGGGAGGACAAGTGATTACAGCATGGCCGTCCCCATGAGGGGTGCTTTCTTTCTCTCTCACGCTTTCTACTGTGAGGAAAGAAGATCATTTTTTAAAGAGTCAATTGTGCTTGTTAGAAAAAAACATTACGGAAATGACTCCCTAGAAGAATCAGGTCACATCTGCTCCCTGCTCAAAGCCTGCAGTGAGCGAATGCTCCATGTGTACACACTACTGGGTGTGAGATTCTCAAACACCAGTAGCATGAGTCCTTCCTTAGAGTGACGTGTTTCTGAACTGTTCGGTGTTTCTCCCACAAGCACTTTGCTCTTACGGTCTGAAGCAAGCAAAGACAGAGAAGAGTAGAGGGTACCTCTGCACTGCCACACCCTGGCACGAGGTGGCCATGCCTGTGTCACAGCCCTGCCCAGAGGCCAGCTGGCAGCTATTCCCCAGCCTCTGGTGTGGGGACAGTAGATGCGTGAGTTAGGGCCACCTGCCCGTGGCCCCCAGCTTTCCCTGCCATGTGCTCTATCGGTTTTTAAGCTTGTGGAAAGAACCTGCCCTTTCTCCCAGGGCAGCTATCGATTTTCTGCTCTGCTGGCCTTCTGAGGTGTGTGAAGGCTGGGTGGGACCCGATCTCCGTCTGATAGCTCCTCCCACGTCCCAAGCCAGGGAAGCAAAGCTGGGGGCTGGCCTGATGGGGTCCCTCCAGCTCCTCGGGGGAGCCTTCCAGGGCAGTCCTGTGACTGGCCGGACCTCTCGACCCTGCCCGCAGTTCTCCAGGCCCTAAGGGTCATGCTGACACACAGATCAGCTGGAGCTCCTGTGGGAGGTGGGGCCAGGGTGCAGCCTGGGTGGCCATGGGGCCCTCTGCCTGCGGCCCTTGCTGCCTGCTTTTCCTCCTCGGGTCTCAGGGAGAGGTCTTAAAAAACAGGTAATGTTACACCTGTTTGGGATAGTTTCTTTCTTTTCTTTTTAAGAATTTCTTTCATTTTTCTTCTTTTTTTTTTTTTTTGGGGAGAGGTTTTCACTATAGGGCACGGGCGCTCACCAGACAGACAGAGAGAGACACAGAGACAGAAAGCGAGAAATCACCCCCCAGGGGGGATGGTCACGCCACAGTCCCTTCTCTTCCATTCTCCTCTCGGGATCTTGGGCACACACGCGCCCGGCGTGAGTTTTAAGCCACTGGGTCCAGGACGCGAACCGCGGTCGACTATGTGGGAGTCCAGCGACATAGCCATTATGCTAACTGCTGGTTCCCAAAAATTTCTTTCATGAGAAGGGATAGAGACAGGCGGACACCCTGGACAGGGTCTGGTTACACCTGATCCCTCTGCAGTAGCCCTCCCGCTAGTCTGGATCTTGGACATGTGCCCTGGGCGTGTCTCAAATCAATGTGGGATCCAGACCTACAGTCTGCCGTGTGGCTTCCAGCACTACGAATCCGTACACTCCTGCCTGTGCCACTAGGCTGGCCCGGGGTGTCTGCTAGTGAAAGCACGTAAAAACAACGGACTCAATCCCATCTTTTTGTTTTTGCTTTTATTTATTTAAAAAACCTTTTTAGAACTATTTATTTAAATTGTATTTGTTATTATTATTACTATTAAATTTGACCACAGAGAGGGAGGGAGGGAGGAGGGGAAGGGGTGTGAGAAAGCAAGGGAAGCAAAGCTGGGGGCTGGACAAAGTCTAGGACCCAGACTGCTGTCAGCCATGAGAATCCAGGACCTTAACCACCATACCACCCGCCAGCCTCGAGCCTATCTTCAATTTTCTTTGGCAATGTGAAAATTACATCATTATTCTTGAGAAGTATGCAGATGGGGTATATCATGTAGGACATTAAACTAAAGAGAAAATAAGTTTAAAAATCATCACCCGAATAAAACTGATGTCCAGGACATGCTCTAAAATGTACGTCAGAGTAATTGAGTGGGTTGGGGCAGATGAAATGAGCCACGCTTTCGGGGTTGCTGAAGCTGATGAGGGGCTCGGGGTTCCTTGGCTGGTCCCCCAGCTTTTGTGTCAGTTTCACGCCTCTGACATCCCACCTGGAAAGATGACCACAAGTACTTCTAGATACGCCCACCTAGGTATATCCTTTGCTGACCCAGAGAGGGTTCCAGAACCCTTGGGGTGTGTGTTTGTGTGCTTTAAGACTTTAGTTTTAGAGCAGTTTTAGGTTCACAGCAAAATAAGAAAGGTGCAGAGGTTTCCCGCACCTCCCGGCCCCACACGTGCACAGCCCCCCACAGTCAGCATCCCCGCCAGAGCGGCACGCCTGTCAGTCCATGGACGTCCACAGACACCTCTCACCACCAGTCTGTGGCATACACAGGGCTTGCTCCTGGGGTGGGGCATTCTGTGTCTTTGGACAGATGGGCCCTTTCTCTTAACTGGTCTGCTGTGGGACAGTGTCATGGTGACAGCCTCTGTTCATTTGCATATGCGGCGGCTGGCTTCAAAGGTTCTGAAGAGATGACATTGAGGTACGAGCTGATTGGGGTGCAGATTTCAAGATCCATGGTTGCTTGTAAACATTTTCCCTGGGCTCTTTGAAGACCCCTTGTAGTATCAAGCTGCTTTGGAGCTAGTTCAAGCCCTCCATGGTGGCGGGGTGGGTGGTTAGTGGAGCCCCCAGCAGGCCCGGGCTCCAGGTCCCAGCTCCTGTGTTATGAGCTGTCTCTGGGCAAGTGCCCAATTCCCATGGCCTCAGCTCCTTCATCAGAAAACAGTTGCTTCGTTGCAGTGCTGAGGTGTAATCAGCAGGTCCTATTTAGACAGAACGTCGCACTACAGCTCTCGCCTCTTGTCAGTGACTCATGTGTGCTCCCGTTGGATGTGCTGTACCTGATAGCACCCTCCTGTGCCATTCCTCACCGGCTGGCAGGTGCAGTGCAGGCCTCTGTGGGTGTGGGGCCTGCCGGCAGCCCTTTCCCGCACCCCAGGGTTTGGCCGCCCTGCCTAGTGCCATGGGCAGCCTGGGCCCCTGCCCTTGCTCAGTCATCAGCCTGAATGCTCTAAGCTTCTTCCCAGCCCGGATGCCCAGGGCACCTTCTCGACCTGGCCAGGCCTGTGCTTCGGATCATCTCTGGCCCTCCTCCGTGACTGACTCTCTGTGTCCCCAGGGAAGGCTACAACCACCCGCCCGTCTCAGGAGAGAATCTGATTGGCCTGAGCAGGGCCCGGCGCCCCCACAATGCCATCTTCGTGAACTTTGACGAAGATGAGGTGCCCGTGCAGCCGCTGGAGGCCGCAGTGCGGACATGGAAGAAAGTCTGCACTAACCCTGTGGACCAGAAGGTGGAGGAGGAGCTGAGGAAGGTGAGGCTGAGCATACCTTGCCCTGCGGGGCTGGCCTCAGCATTGCCCACGGGCCACGGCTGCTCCTCGCCCTTGGGGCCCGCCGCGTGTTTGCTTCCTTAACTCCTGCATGACCACATGGAGACTGTCCCCCTGCAGATGTCACGGCTGAGACACGTTCATGTGAGCCTAGCATTCCCAAGGGCATAAGTGCTTAGCATCTCCCAGCCCCTCTGGGGTGGTGAATATGTGGGTGCACGGTTCGGGTGTGACTTTCATGTGGAGCCTGGGCTGGCGAGCTTTCCCGGGCCGTTTGCTCTGGCAGCGGCTGAACGGAGCACCTCCACTGCCAGCCCGGGCCCTCGCTTCGGTCGGAGCTGCCTCCCTCTCCCTCTCCCTGCAGATGAAGCCTGAGACTAGGGCCTTCCTCTATGGTTCCCCTGGCAGGTACAAGCCACCCGTCACCGTGAGCACACCTTGCTTCCCGTGTCTGAGCCACAGCCCTACACTGTCCCCACGGTGCCGTCTTACCACACTGGGTGTCTTGTTGGATTTCTGGCATTGCTAAGCAAGCTCTGTACATGTCCACGTTCCTAACCCTGGCTCACAGGCCCCATCTGCCCCGGCCCACCAAGCTCTAGCCACGCTGGCCTTGTGCAGCCCTCCAGGCCATCCTCTGTGTCCCTCACAACATTCCAACTCGAGCCCCTGCTCTCCAGGTCAGGGCTGCTCTAACGTCCCGGGGCCCTGGTGTTGTCCCCACTCAGCCCTGCTCCCCTGCACTGAATGCGGCAAGGATTACTCATGGTCATCTCAGGACCCCAGGCCCTACAGTAGCCATTGTCACAGGCCAGGCCTGTGGTCCGTGCTCCCAAGGGAAGAGAGGGATGAGGGTTGGTGGGTATGTGCAGGGTGCTCCTGGGACTGGCCCTGCTCTGCCAGCTCCTGTGTATAAGAGCCCCTGGGGTCCAGAACATGCTGGGGAGTTTGGGGCAGGAGGCCAGAGGCTTCTGGTGCTCAGCTCAGCTTCTTTGGCCCAGCTGTTTGATGTCCGTCCCATCTGGTCCCGGAACGCCGTCAGGGCCAACGTGAGCATCCACCCCGACAAGCTCAAGCTCCTGCTGCCCTCTGTGGCTTATTACATGGTGAGTGTGGCCGCCTGCCTAGGCTTGGCACCAAGTGGTCCCCAGTCCCAGCCATCATGTCTTAGAGCCACACAAGCACAGATGGTCCCATCCTGGCATCCAGGGTGCTCCCTGCAACCTCTCCTAATCTGGCTATGTCGGGGTGACCTGGGGCAGAGGGGAATGACCTCACTGGCTGTAGGGGAGCTCGCCCCTAGGTGACCTGGTACGGGCCTTCAAGGACCCACCCTGAGTAAGCTCATGTTAATCCTGGGAGCATCAGCGGGGTCCTTTCCATCTCTGAAGAAAAACTCAGGCTCAGAGGAATGATGTGATGCACCATGGTCCCCAGGAGGGACAGAGTCACCGGGGACCCACCTGCCTGGCTGCTAAGTGAACCCCTAAGCACACTGCCTCTCGCCTAACTCCTTCCAGCTCTGCTGAATGGGATTCAGAGGGCCAGATCTGCTTTTAATTAAATCCAGGATGGGGATAGGGAAGGGGGTGCCCTTGCTGAGGTTCCCTAAGGTGCAAGTAAGCTTGCAGGTATCCTGCTTCCTCTGTGAGGACTCCCATCCCTAGACGTCAGGGGACTCTGGGCTTGACTCCACCTCTGTGCCCACTTTTCTGTCTCCAGATAACAGGCCCCTGGAGAAGTCTGTGGATTCGATACGGCTATGACCCCCGGAAAGACCCAAGCGCCAAGATTTACCAGGTCCTTGACTTCCGAATCCGTTGTGGGATGAAGTATGGTAAAAACAACTTTCATATCTTTCCATTTCTAGCATTTTCTCTTTCTAACAGAGAGCGTGAGCAAGGCAGGCACCCCCCACAGGGCACAGGGCCTCTCCACACCGCAGTGCATCCCCAGCTGGCTAGCGGCAGGGGCAGGGTAGGGAAGCCCTTCTCCCACCCCCACCCTCACCCCAAGAACCTGTCGGGCCCAGAACAGCGTAGACACAGGTCTACACTGCCTGGCTCCACTGCTGCTCCTCCAGTCTGACCCAGCCACTCATTCGGTCACTGCACAGTGACCTGTGCCAGCCTCCACACCACCGTGATCTGCCTCTGGGTGGGAGGTGCTGGCAACCCTTCCTCCAGCGCAATGGTAGCCTGGGGACTCCCATTCCAAGTCCCACTTTCAATGTGACGCTGGTGCTCTTTGCCGAGGGGCCCACACCCACCTCCTGACACGGCCCTCTTGTCTGCAGGTTACGCCCCCACTGACTTGCCCGTCAAGGCCAAGCGTAGCACCTACAACTACAGCCTCCCCATCACCATCAAAAAACCACGTGAGTGCCTCGGCCAGCCCGCAGGTCACCGGGGAAGGTGGGAGTCTGGGCGGTGAGGTGGCAGGTGCTTCCTGGGTCTCTCCAGGGCAGGGTGGTGGTCAGGAGCAACCCCTCCTCCCTTATGCCAAGTACTGCCCGTCTCCGCAGCCTCCCAGCTGGTCGGCATACATGACTTGAAGCATGGCCTGGGCCCCTCGGGGATGGCAGGTGCCCAGAGGTCAGTCCCCAGCAAGTACCAGCTCAAGGTGGGTGCCCTGAGCCCTCGGAGGAAGCAGCTCTGCCTGCTCTGTGACCTTCCACCATTCACCCTCGGACCAGCCTCAGAATGAGGGCAAGAACCTGGGGTGGTACTGAGGGGCATCTGGGCAGAGGGCTGTGGACGAGTCCCCAAGAGGGAAATCTGGCACCAGCTCTTAGTGAGCCTGACCCCACCGAGGCACAGGGCTGCCCTTGGCGTCATCAGAGGCAAACCAGACTGCCGGGCTGCAGCCGGCTGGGTGGGCACAGTCACAGTGACAGGCAGCGGTCCCAGAGTCCTCCCCACACTTGCGCTGCTGAGAGCTGCCCCACAGCCCTGAGGGAGACTGAGCCCGGAGCGTCCCCCACCCTGGAGTCACCTGTCCAAGTAGCAGGTGACAGGAGGGTGTGGTCGTCCCAGTGTCCTCTGGCTCCTGGGCCTGCTTCTCCAGGCCTTAGCTCCCTTCTCATTGGGGCGCTGTGTCATAGTCTGAGCAGCCCCTTCTTCCTCTGGGGCTGTCACATGGCAGTTACCCCTGCCCCCAGAGCTGCATGTCCACACGGGGAAGGCAGAGGCCGGGCGCTTGTTAAGGCCTGCTTTCCACCCAGAAAAGATGCCGGGGTGGTGTGTAGGGACCTGGGTGGCCAGTTCTCAGCACCAGCCTGCCACATGTTCCCGGAGGCCTGACTGCTCTGTCTGCCCCTCCCAGAACGTCTTACAAGTTAGAGCTGGTGTTCTCCACACCTACCCAGACTGGTCCTGGTGACCAGCCAGCTCCTAAAGACCGTCCAGGGAGCCTGCAGTGTGAGGGTCTCCAACTCACCTGCCTCTGGGGATCCAGCTCACCTGCTCCATCTCCCCCTCCTTTCCCCAGGACTCCGTCTACATCTTCCAAGAGGGGGCCCTGCCACCCTACCGACAGATGTTCTACCAGCTCTGTGATCTGCACGTGGAAGAGTGCGTACGCCGGGGCTCTGAGGCGCCAGGGCAGGGCTGGTGGGGCTCGGGTGGTGCTTTCTGCGGCTCATGTCATCCTTGGTCTTGGCAGGTGGACTGCCCGGTGGGAGTCGGTGCTAACGCCAGTACCCTGGGCCTGGCTGGGTTCCAGCATGGCATCAGGGCCAGCCGCGTGTGCTGAGCGGCGCGCCAGCCGCGTGTGCTGGGCGGCGGCTTTCCCTGTAGGCCCAGCCTCACCAGCTGGCCACAGCACTTGCTGGCGAGTCCCCCACCTCCCCGTCCCTGTGCCCACAGGGTTTCTGACACTGCTCTGCACTTGTTCTTAGTGACATTTACAGACGGTAGGGTGTGGGGCCACCTATGGTGTGGTGGTTAAGGCACTGGATTCCCATATGGCTGGCCACAGTGTGAGTCCTGGACCCGGCAGCCTGAAAATGTGCCCAAAATCCCAAAAGAAAAATGGAGAAGGGATTGCAGGATTGTGGCGTGGCCAGCCCACCTGGGGTGGGGTGATTTCTCACTTTCCCTCTCTGTCTCTCTCTCCAGTGAGCACACATGCCCTACGCAGAAACCTAAGAAGAGGGTGGGGGCTCTGGTGCTGGGGGACTGTTCAGTAGGGCCTGGAGTCTGGGGCTCAGCAGTGTGCACACAGCCACCCCAGCTCTGTGCAGTCGGGGTCCGGCCCAGTGTGCACGCAGCCACCCCAGCTCTGTGCAGTCGGGGTCCGGCCCAATGTGCATGCAGCCACCCCAGCTCTGTGCAGTCGGGGTCCGGCCCAATGTGCATGCAGCCACCCCAGCTACTGTGTAGTCAGGGTCCAGCCCACATGCGTCTGGGGCCACATGGTATTCTCCATCACCACCATGCCGGGGTGGCATGTAGGGACACGGGTGGCCAGTTCTCAGCACCAGCCTGCCACATGTCCCGGAGGCCTGACTGCTCTGCCTGCCCCTCCCTGAACGGGCTTCCCTTGGTGCTGGCCTTCTCGGCACGGCTCGCCTTGCCCCTGCAGCCACCTCTCTGCGTGGGCAGAGCCCCCAGGAACCTCCACCCTCCCTCCCCCCACCTCCGCCACAGGCTGCAGAACATCATCCATCGCAATGATGGGGTGGAGGCCGTGTGCACCGAGCGTGACGGCTGGTGCCTGCCCAAGACCAGCAATGACCTGCGCAACGCTATGTCCACCATGATCCGGCAGGCCATCCGCTCCACGAGGCCTGGTGAGCACGGCGCGTCCCAGCCAGTTCCACAGCCGCGTCCAGGTGGGGCAGTCTTGCCTGGCTCTCAGCCGAGGCTGCCAGGGCAGGGTTGAGGCACTGGGCCCCGGGGGGTGGAGAGGGCTGCGGCCAGCGGCCTGGCCACACCTGCTACATCAGCAGCACCCTGGGGCTGGGGACAGCAGGACTCTGGCCGCTCCCCTCTGCTCTGTCCGGCTCCTTGCCAGGCCCAAGAGCTCTGGCAGGGGCAGCGCTGGCTCCTCAGACAGTGAGGATGGGGATGAGTGCTCACTGGCCAGAGCTCTGAGTGCTGGGGCAGGGTGGGGCGCCCCAGGATCTGACCAGGACAGGGCTCTTAGCCTTGTTTGGGACATAGACGCAGCCCCTTCGGGTCCTGGAGGGTTGCACACTTCCCCAGGAAGGACAGCTCCTGTCCTCTCAGAGACTCCACGGTGTCCCAGGAAGGGCTTCAGGCCTGTGCGTATCTGTCCTCTAAAGTGCTGGTCAAACCACAGGTTCCCAAGGGTCCCCCGTCCCCACACACGCTTCCAAGCAGCTTCTCCAGAGCTTGAGCCCAGCCCCCTGTCGTTGTAAACAGGCTCCCCAGGAGGTGTTCAGCCTGCCTGGGGCCACCAGGAAGCCTGGGTTGGGCCTCACACTGCCGTGTCCCCTGGCTCAGCTCTCTTCTCCAGCCCAGCCAAGGCTGATGGTGGGAAAGAGCAGCTGTCCTCTGAGTCTGGGGAAGAGGAGGAAGAGGAGGAGGAGGAGGAAGACTTCAAGCCCTCAGACGGGAGTGAGAACGAGATGGAGACAGAGATTCTAGACTACGTGTGATGGGGCCCTGGACCCCGGGCCCCCGGCCCCCATGGCCAGCAAAGACTGCTGTCCAGCATCATGAGGCAGCCAGGGCAAGCTATGTCTGCCCAGTGCCCCCTCCAGGTGCCAGGATGGCCCAGGAGGCCCTCTGAGACAAGGATACAGCTGGCCCTGGGCCGGCCCTTGCTGTGACTGGATATTTGGAGCATCCCAGAGGTCATGCCTTGGCCCTGTGCCCCTGTGGACCCACCCAGCGCCCAGCAAGCTGCTCTGGCGCCCAGCGGCGTGAGGAGCCTGTCCTCAGCCTTCGGCCCCATCTGTTCGGACTCACCCTGATTAAATTGCTTTCCTGAGGAGCGGGCGTCTCAGTGCACGTGGTGGAGCCACCAGGAGTTCGCCTTGGCTGGGCACTGCAGGGCCTTCCCATCCCTTCCTTCCTCCCCTGAGGTTCAGTGAGCTCATGCTGGCCCCATCTCCTTGGGTGGGTGAGAGTGGCCGGGAGTAGCCCGAAACCAGACTGATTCCTGCTTCCCCAAGTGGGTGCATTCTGAGTTCGTGGGCAGTAGGCAGGTTGTCTCAGCTCCCTGGGTCAGACCCGAGAGGCTCCTGTCTGTCCAGGCCCTCCCTGTACACTCTGCAGCTTGCACGTGTTAGGTCCATGGCCAGGTGCCTCAGGTGAGCCCGCCCACCATAGCTCAGGAGCCCCGTAGCTCAGTCACCTGATGTGGCCAGTCCTGGGACCCTGGCTTGGAGAAGCAGGCCAGGTGTGACCCTCCCCCACCTCCACAGGCCATGCGTTTGAAGAAATGGGGTCGTTGGCCTCACATTCTGGTTTGGACTGTGGTTCCTGCACCCTCTAGCCCCTGGATCAGCACGAGGAGGCTCGGCCAGATGTAGGTTGAGGGGGAACCAGGTAGCTTTGCCGCTGGCAGGTTTGGGTGGTGGTGGCCTGGTCCAACAGCCCCTGACCTCATGGTTTTTAGCAGCGTTGGACATTGCCTGGGTCTCCTTCCCCAAGGGTCATACCATTGGTCATTGGGAAAGTCAAGATGCATTTTTGCATAGAAAAAATATGTCCTGATTCCGATGACCCAATGGAACGCATTTATCAGCTGGACTTCTGTCTCTGGTTCGGCATCTGTCAGTTGCCCTGCAGCCCCAGTGGACAGGAAGGGCAGGAAAATGCTCCTCTCTCGGCCAGTTTCTGGAACGAGGAGTCCAAGCTTGGTGCCTGGCAACTGCCCGCGAGGGTCCGAGTGTTTCTGCTGAGCTTCCTGACGAGCGCTCAGGTGTGTTCAGTCCGTTGCAGGAATATCTTGGTGCCCAGCTTGCCCTTCAGCGGGAAGGTGGCCTAGGTCGGCTCCTGCTGACCTTTTGCAAGACGCCTGCTGCTTCCTGGCCACCCGGTAGCCCAGTCTCCAGGGCAGCTCCTGCCCAGACCTGCCTGGCTGTCCCCACACACCCTCCTTTTCTGGGGTAAAAACCATGTTCGAGACACTGATCTGGACATCAAGGGGCAGATGCTGCTCCTGGCTTTGCTGCGTTACTAGGGTTTTAAGCAGCTGAGAAACGGGTTCATTGTTTCTTACAGAAAAGGTGAGTTCATGCAGCTGGGCCCCAATTAGAACGTAAGATTGGAGGTTTTATTTTGATTTCTTGTTGCTTTTTCTGCCTAGGCTGAAACTATAAGTTCCTGATGACACCAGCGTATTGGGTCGCTGGAGAGGTCATTCTGTACTGTTCTGTTTTCCATGAGCAAGTAGTTCCTTGGGTCCTTTTTCCTGTAACATATACTGATTTTAAAATATGGGGCCAGCAGGTGGCGAGGTGGTTAAGGCGCTAGTCATTCCCACATTGGCCCACCACAGTTTGAGTCCCAGACCTGGTGGCTTGCTTTCTCACTTCCCTTCTCTCTGTGTGTCTGTCTTTGGTCAAATAAAAATGATTGAATAAATAAATAATTTTTTTTTAATGTTAATACCTGGACAAGCAGGTGGTGTGGTGGTTGAGGCACTGGATACTCCCACATGGCTAACTATGGTTCGAGTCCCGGACCTGGGGGCTTGCTTTCTCACTTTCTCTCTCTCTCTCTGTCTCTCTCTGGTCAAATTGAAAAATAAGCAAATGAATTTAAAAAAAAGAAAGTGTAACACCATTGAAAATCAGGTAATAATATTTCAAGTACTTGCACTTAGGGCCGGCCAGGAGCACAGAAGCTTTGTGCTGTGTAGAGTGCCATGGGTGCCCGCGTGTACAGGACCCTGACAGAAGGACAAATGGAGGGAAGAGACTGGCTGACCGGGCCCCACCAGGGCAGGGCTTAGTCTCTCACCGTGCCCGCTGACATTAAAAAGTAAAGCATAGAAGCCAGTGGGTGGCATAGTGGTTAAGGCACTGGACTCCCACGTGGCCAATGTGGTTCTAGTCCCAGACTTGGTGGCGTGCTTTCTCACTTGTCCTCTCTCTCTCGTCTTTCATCTCTCTGTCTCTCTTGGGTCAAATTAAGAAGTAGAACTAGGGACCAACAGTTGGCATAATGGCTATGTCACTGGAGTCCCATGAAGTCTGTCAGTTCAAGTCCCGGACCCGGTGGCTTAAACTCATGCCAGGCATGTGTGCGTGCTTGTCCAAGATCCTGAGAGGAGAATGGAGGTGAAGGGATTGTGGTGTGGCCATCCCCCTTGAGAGGTGATTTCTCGCTTTCTGTCTGTCTCTGCCTTGCGAGCACAGGCGCCTTATAGCAAAGACCTCCCCCCTCCCCCAAAAAAAGTAGTTAAATAACTATGTAAAAACAAAGCATTTAAATTTAAGTAACAGTATGTGATGAACTAGGCTTCGTTGAAGATCAGTCACCTTGCTCTTTCTCCAAGGGGAATTCTGCCAAGGACGCACAGCTGTGCCCGAGTCCTCTGCGGGCCACGCGGTTCCAGCCCCTACTTTTTAATATATATGAGGTTTTCACCACAGAGCATGTGTGCTCTCCGGCAGAGACACAGGGAAAGTGAGAAATCACCCCTCGGGGATGGCCACTCAGCACTCCCGTCTGTTCTGGAGATTTGGGGCACGTGCCCAGCATGGGTTTAAGTCTCCAGGTCCGGGGCTCGCCTGCAGTTTTCAAGTGGCTGTGCGTGAACACCTTTTCGAGCACCATGTAAGCACGCACTGTAGGTCCTGGCTCCGTAGTGCCCCTGAGGGAGACCGAGACGGGTGCAGAGAAGTGAAGACCCCAGCCCCGCCTGCATAGCTGGGGGCGGCGGCCGGTTGGACCTGTGTCTGATTTTGAATTCTGTCCTGTCCACTGTTGACACGGGTTCGTTTGCCCTCCCAGGAAAGCCTTTTTCCGTTTGGAAATTTTTTTCACATCCAAAGAACTTTAAAAGAAAACAAATATTTGCCGAAGCCCTGTGTACCATCAGGGTTGGGCTTGCTTGCTGCTGTCTGTGATACTGACGTGAGGCTGCCGTGCTTGCGCGCTGCCCTTGGGGAGGTCACAGACTCCACGCATGCAGCAGCAGCCACAGAGCCTCCCACAGACATGTGCCCAGTTTCCGTGGCCGCCCAGCCCCCCCCAGCCTGCCTTCGGACCTCCTGGCAGGTCCATGACTAGGATCAGAACGCTGAGTCCAGACTTCTGGCCTATAACCATTGCCCGCCGGGGGCGCCGGGGGCCGTGGCGCAGCTGAGGCGCAGCCAGCACAGTGCTCCTGCGTAGCCTGATCTTCCCACCCCAGCCTTTTGTGAGGACTCGGGACAGCGCCAGCGCAAAAGGAAATGCAGAGGCTGAGGCTGTGGGGGGGCAGGTCCCACATCATCCACTCCAGGGGCCGACGGGGCAAGCGCACGGCTGAGCTCTGAGCAAGGGCAGGGGCCCAGGTCTCCGAGGAGGTCACGGCACTGCAAACACTGGCAGAGCTGTTTGGTTAAGAGTAACCTCCCAGAAG